GAAGTGGGGCTGGCCAAAGGAGCAGCAAGGGAGGAGGAATGAATTGGCATGCAGGGAGTGGGACTGACCCGACCCCGTTCCCCCCTTCCTCCCCACCCACAAAGCACGAGTTAGTCCGGCACAGGGATTCTACTGCCCACCACACACACACACACACACACACGCGCGCTATATGTCTGGTATTTTCTCAGTTTGTTTTTCATGTGTTTATATTTTGGGGCTGCAAAAAGCAGAACTGAAAAAAAAGGGTTCCAATTAAAGTAAAAAGTTTGGGAAACCCTGGTCTAACCAGCTTTCTGTCTGTCTTACAGCCCATTTATCCAATCCATATTCCTTAACTTGCTGGCAAGAATATTGTGGGTGACCATATCAAAAGCTTTGCTAAAGCTGGCACTGGGAGATTTGGGAGGACCAGAAACAAGTTATTTGAATATTCATCATTTGATTAATGAATATACAAATATGCAAATGAACATTACTGGTCCTCCAAAAGTTCGTGAATGGATTTACTGGTCCCTGTGTCAAAAAGTTTGGGAACCCTTGCCCTATCCACTCATCTAAAACTTATTAGGGAAGTCCTCCTCCCTCCTGGCTATTTCATGTGATCAAGTATGCAAAGTGATTATTTGAACACAGAGCCATCATACTTGTAAGTGTGCCTTTTTCACACATAGCTGTGTGTTTGCATGTGATGTACTATTCTGCTTTTGTGTGTGACTGACCCCCCCTACTCCGACTCCTTCCCTTTCTCTCTGTCAGGCCACTTCCTCCTTCCCTCCTGCATTCTGAGGCTAGTCTCAGGCCAGTATTCACTGGGTGGCTGATAAAATGCCAGCAGTCTAGGCCTTAAAGAACTCCCTCCACGGGGTTCTGTTTTTCACTTCAATATCGGCCATCCAGCTGAACTGACAAGTCCCGGAGCCCAGGGTGAGAGGTCTGCAAGCTGCCATATAACAGGCAGGATGTGAGGTGCACTCAGAGCCAGGCCAGTGGCTCCAGTGTGCCGGGTTAGGCCACTAGGCCCATCTCCATGGCAACTGCTGTAGTGCAAGAACCAAACTGCACCGTCAATGGGCTCCATTCACAGGGCTCAGTCTGGGAGACTCCGGGCACGGAACAGTTTCTGGGCCCTGGAAGAGTCTGACCCCTTCATGGCTTGGCCCTTTGCTCTGGGGACTGACCCCCACTCTGCCCTGATCCAGCAGGTTCTGCATCAGCTCCTCTCCACCTGGCTCTGCAGGCAGCAGGTGAGTCCCAGGAGAGGGGGGACTGAGTGGGAGGTGGGGATTCTGGGGAGAGGCAGCATGTAGTCTTGGGTGAAGAGGCATGGCAGGGGTCCAGGCAAGGGTGTTTGATTTTCAGCGATTAGAATGTTTGTAACCCTAGACTCAAACCAGGCTACCACTGAGCACACCCACTGAATCAGGTCCCCATATGCATCACAGGCAGACATGGCCATCTTCCCTTGGTTTGTGACTTGCTCTAGGTCTGAGTTAGGACTTGTGCTTTCAGATGTCTGGAGTGATTTTGCAGTGCACATGCCCAGCTGCAGAAATACAGGCATTTATTAGTGGATCACAGTGGTGCCTAAAAGGAGTTAGGCACATAAGTTCCTTTCAGGGTCAAGCCCTTAATGATTATTATTATTTAGAATCTCAATTTTAGGTTTCAGGCAAAGGATGGCACATCAAGTAGCTCCAGTTAGTTTAGAACCACGTTGGTTCAGGTGTTTGTGTGTGAAAAGGGGAATTACAAAAGTTAACACAAATAGAAGTATATTTATTATTTTGGGTCTAATTTCAGTGAAAAAAGTTACCTTGATTTAATTTAAAAATTCTTGTTAGGATTGACAGCTCTCCAAATTCACTTGGAGTCTCCAGGAATTAAAAGATGAATCTTTAATTAAAGATTATGTCATGTGATGAAACCTCCAGGAATATATCAAACCATAATCAGCAACCCTATTTTGCTTAAATTTCTTTGCAAACACAATAGCATTCTGCAAGTGTGCGGGAACTAAAAAATGACACTGACCTGAAAAAGGATAGCAAAACTTACCAAGCTAGTTTTGTTATTAGTTTTATCTGAGTTTTATATGTACACAGAGAAAAGAGATTAACACTAGCGATTTTGGCCCTCTGTGGGAAGAATCATTGTGAATCTAATTTTTTGCTGATAGCAAAACAATGGTAGAGTTTATAAGCAGAGAGATTTGAGCTAAAGATTTCAGTTCTAATATTCTAAGTATAGACAAGAAAAATATTTTTAATCTTTACAAGCTCTCTTAAGAAGAAAGTCTATTTATATGTGTTATACAAACCATAAATATTTAGTGTGCTAGACAAGTAATAATTAATATGAGACATGCTCAAGCAGACTTTTTTCACCTTTAGCATTTTCTAAACATAACATTTTGAACCAGAGGGTTTGAGCAGCCAGGCATCAGGGCAACCAGGAGAGCATAACAAGGGGCAGTGAGAATCAAGAGATGCCTTGAAGCACAGTTTTATGCATGGCCAGTTTTGAGACTTTGCCACGTGGCTCTTCACAAGTTGCTCCTGCATTCCCTGTGTTTGCCTTTAATTCCCCACCCCACCCCTGCAGTTCAAGCAATAAAGAGACCATTGTTCGATGAACATTAGTATTTATTAGGCGAGAACAACAGGGAAGAGAAAGAAGGGGGAACCAGAAAGAGGGAGGGGGCTCAGGAACGCGAGTGGTATTGCCTTCTGAGGTCCTGGAGGGTATGACTCCCCTTGAGTCATCCTCCCCATGTCCTGGGACCCTGGCAACCTCTGGGGATCCTAGGGGTGGAAGCCACAGGGCTGGTGGAGGAGGAATTAGGGATGTCATCAAGGCAGATGGGGTTCTGGGAGGAGACCCTCTCCAGACAGGATGTCACATGCTCCATTACTGTGGA